TAATCCTATTTTTCCATTTCACGTGTTTCCAAGTATATGTTTTGCTTGGTCACATTTAACTGCTCTGAGCACTTATATACTACAGTATGTATCTACGTTGTATGAACTCTGCTGTTAGTGTTTTTATGAGGATATAATGAAACTGAAATCTGGAACAGGTACACATATTCCTAAATTGCTTTTCCAATAAAAGAAGAATCAGTGCAGTGAATGTTATCAGTTGTCAAATCCACATTGAATTGTGAGAACATCAACAGGATAATACCGGCATGTCAACAAAGTTTTATTTCAAACTAAGAAACGATGAAATAACTGCAAAATAAGAACAACAGAAAGCTGTATAAGCAGACCTCCAAAATCATACAAGGGAAATACGACCATGTGTTTCAAAACGTAAGGCGTCTTTCGCTTTATCGACGACATCCACCATGTGAATTTAGCTCAATTAAAGTAATGTCGTCTTTTGAAATAAGAAACGTATGTATACCTTACTTTATACCGGTCAAGGAAATCGAATATTGCCAAATGATATAATCAAGATGAACAAAAATCCTCCCCAAATCTTTCTACTTTATGCTTATAAGATTCAACACCTTACCACCATTTATAGAAGCTAATAAGAGAAACTTAGACATTATCTTATCACATCCACACAGAACACAATTAACTTGGAATGTGTGATACATGAGCGAAAAATTAATGATAAATCAACATAATTAGAACCCACAAATTCAATAAACTAATCGAGCAAAAGAACCTGTTCCATTATCATGTTTGATACACTCCAACAAACAAATAAAGAATTCATGATAATCAACATGAAGCAGTATAATTATAAGCTTAGAAAAGAACAACTTTCTGATACATTACAAATTAGCTCGGAAGATCGGATTTTATCAATAATACTGAATTGTAATTTCTATACATCGTGAAAAAAAAACCAACATTAATAAGAAAACACCAACATGTTACCAGAATTATAATCAAAACTTAAGTTCAATAAAAAAATAAGGCAAAACATGAACAAAATAATGTTTCCACGGAGACTTCAGAATTTGATGATGTGCAGGTTTCTTTTTCTTCTCTTTTTGTTTTATTTGTTTACGAATTTGTAACGTTGATATTTTTCAACGATGTATTGTTATTTATTACTTTTGAAACTTTCTCCTCGCCTACCACTTAAAATGTTCACGACTACCCACGATTATATGGCTATTTAACTGGAGACTTGATGAGGAGGCTTATTTTGACAGCATGGTGTTGCTTGGAATCAGCATATCAACCTGGTAACCCGATGTTTCATTGAAGGACTTTCATCATCAAGTATATCTAGACAGTACAATGTTTGGAGTTGTGTAGAATGTGTAAGAATTTGATAGTATTTACAATTTATACGCTGGGTTATTACAATAAAGCATATTAACTCAATAGAATTAACAATAAAGTCACCATTCCATTGATCAATCACCACTAGGACTATTTACCATGTCATATATACGTCTACGTTTAAATAATGCATCCCATACTTATATAACCTTTAGTTTTGTCATTAGAGATAAGACATCCACTCTTCATCGTCTTTAACAGATATGAAACTTTCAGTGGTGATCAACACCCACGTGTTTCCCATGATATGAAGCAATAAATACATATTGTATCCTGTGTACAGTGGTTTATAGAGATTGTTTTGTATCAGCAGATACAGCATTGTTTTTCTTTGTTGTCGTGACGATGTGCTATATTTTGTTATTGATGTTTGGAATTATGGAAGACGTAATATTTGTACTTCAGTTTTGAAGTTTAAGGTTAAGTGGTGTTTTCTTTTGTCCTTGTGTGTGACAGGCTTTTGACCTTATTTCGTTCCCGTGTGTGATAAGATATTGACATTTTTTGTCACTGTGTGTGACAGGGGGATTCTGGCTTTATTTCGCCCACATGTATATAACAAGGTTTTGTTTAACCCCGTGTGTGACAGAATTATAGCTTTATTTTGTCACTATGTGTGACAGGATTATGACTTTATTTTGCCACTGTATGTGACAGAATTATGGCTTTATTTTGTCACTGTATGTGACAGGCTTATGGCTCTATTTTGTCACTATGTGTGACAGGGCTTTATTTTGTCACTATGTGTGACAGTTTATGACTTTATTTTGTCACTGTGTGTGACATTTTTATTTATGAAACCCAGGTAAAACCAGTAAAAGTCAGACAGTCAGTGATATATATTGTGTTTTCCTAGTGACCATTACGTGTTGGGTTTTGTATTTTTCCCACATGTGACCAACGTGAAGTGTGACATATTTGCCATATATGATGCATGTTACATAGGTATAATATTGAGGATTTAGTGTAGTTTGTCTGTGTATCAGGGCTGTCTTTTACTTTGTCCTTGTGTGATGATGCATTATAAATCGACATACACGTAGTTTAATTCATCAAATTGGAAAATGCCTTATTTTATGTTCTAAACAAATAAAGTGTTGGGTGGATACGGTTTGGTATGGCGGACACGGTTTGGTATGGCGGACGGCCATTGCGTTCGCCAGGTATCCAAGCAGGCGTGAAAACTCGTCAGTATACGGTAGAATAGCGGAGATTGCAGGTGTTTATATCATCATCAATACAAATCCAGCGAGCTGTATGGGCGTATATATAAAACACAAACGATCTCGTCTGTAATGGATGTATATTGAAGCACGGTCAGTGTCGATATATGCAGATTCCGTTGTTCATTTGACACGAGCAATTACGTTTTATGAAAAAGAGTGGCAAAATATTTTCCTGTAAGCAATAAACCTTAGAAAAAAGTTGCAACCTCATATGGTAGACCCTATGTTTCATGATACTGTTGATAACATAAAATATGCGGTTCCATGAGCAAGTTAAGAATGACGTTTCTATGAATTTGAATTGCTCCAGGAAAGGAGCTTATTTGTATTCATTACTGGTATATTAATCAAAGGAGACTAAGAACGGGGGACAAAACGTTGTAGATCCAATTTCCCTTTAATAGATTAAAAACCACTATCAATTTCCCTACGTCCCTTAAACTGCTGACGACGACAGACAGTAGAGATACTATGTAGAAAAGACCGTCAGTGTTGCCAAGGTAAGGGCAAAAATCCTAAACCTATGAGACGACCGAGAAATATCAAAATGAATAGAAAATAAATCTAGATAGACAAATACGTTTGCCTTATATATGAATAAACTTCGAAATGTTAATGTATATCTGATGGTTTCAGACGAACGTTAAATACAGTACAAGTGTCTGTTCTGAACCGTGCCAATATTCGATTGGATTAAAACACGACATGCAGGTAACGGCGAACCTCGGTGACTAATACTCCACAGCTACCAGCTGAGTATCTTGTGGAGCTCGATGGTAAGGTCTTCCAACAGGCTATCGGCATGTCTAAGAGGAGAAACTTTAGGCTGAATTGTTTTTGTTACAAGGCTGAGTCTACAGAAGAGCTTATCAAAACTGGTCACCTTTCATATTCATTCTTAGATAAATTGATAACGTTTTGTCTTTCAAAATGTATTGTACATACCCACCAGACACGACAGACTCGACTTATTAGCTGCTTAACTTGATCTTTTCCTAAACTTAAACCAACAGGAACAGCTGTCCACAAAGCTTTAAAACAAACCTGATGTTTCAATTACTTTATGGTGTTATTCTTATTTTTCTGAATAGCAATAAACATTCCCAGCCTATGATGTCGGTACTTGTCGCAGTTGATTTGACATTCAAGGGCCTGTTCACAATACCATGATCTTCATTGGATGTATTGGCAACAGACGAACCAATCACACGCGGTTTCAAGAAATGCATTTTGATGAAGGTTACAGGAATAGTATTTCCATCAACTTCGATTTAGAAGGAAACAAATATGATTACTGGGGTATAGCAAGACAGAGGGAAAACGATATATCTACTGGGGATATAGCAAGACAGGGGGAAACAAATATGATTATTGGGGGTACAAGACAAGAGGGAAACCAATATATATACCGGGGGTACAGCAAGACAGAGGGAAACCAATATATCTACTGGGGATATAGCAAAACAGGGGGAAACTAATATATCTACTGGGGGTACAGCAAGACAGAGGGAAACAAATATGATTATTGGGGTATAGCAAGACAGAGGGAAAACAATATATCTACTGGGGATGTAGCAAGACAGAGGGAAACAAATATGATTATTGGGGGTACAAGACAAGAGGGAAACCAATATATATACCAGGGGTACAGCAAGACAGAGGGAAACCAATATATCTACTGGGGATATAGCAAAACAGGGGGAAACTAATATATCTACTGGGGGTACAGCAAGACAGGGGGGAAACCAATATATCTACTGGGGATACAGCAAAACAGAGGGAAACCAATATATCTACTGGGGGTACAGCAAGACAGGGGGAAACCAATATATCCGGCTTGAGCATGAGAACGGTTTCGTGAATACGGTTCCTGATGTAACCAAGCAGCAGTGAGATCTGATCAAATACCAAGGCGATGTGAAATTGTAACAGTGAGATTGGACCAGTCCCTTTGCCTGATCAACTAGGCACACTTCCTGAAGATATTTGGGAAAAGTCTACTTTAAACTTCATTTCTTTTTATATTCAGATTTTGTACAATCAATTCTCTGATCACAAGTTTGACTCTACAAAGAACACTGACTCTCAGATCCCATTCCAAATGCTATTTTTGGAATAATAAAGAACTTTATACATTTAACTACGAGTCTACAAGGTAAGTAAATTGAATAAGTACATGTACATTGAATAAGGAATCAAGGTCTTGATGATACGATGATGTATTTACGATTTGTATATCTGTAGATGTACCTTCAAAGAACAATTGTTGGAAATCCTCCAGGCTTTGTATTTTCCCTCTGAAAAGTTAATGCATGCTGCTGAGAATTTCCTGACCAAAGTCTGTAAAGTCTGAGTAAGTTTTATTCTTTCAATATACAAAATGTACAAGCATGTATTATATGTTAAATATGAAAAGGCAATTGACATCCTGGCAAAATATCAACAAATATGTAAAGAAACTTGAACACAATTTTATTATATAATTTATGATTTTGCTTTCACTTTTGATGTTGATGGCTGGTCTGTTTCCTGTTCATATTCTATCTCCACGCGAGCTCGTTTCCTTCTCATTGTTTTCTTTTTACGAAGGGTTGCACTCTCATCCTCTGATGAACTACTGCTATCACTGTATACTGGAAGTCGTTCTCCATCCTGTTAACATAAAGCACAACAAAATTAGCTCTTAGGTATATCGCAATACTTTTACCATTAAGCATGTACAAGTTCTCTCCCTTATCAGCATACTATAAATCATATTACACCATGCCGTGTACTGTTAAGGTGGACCAATTATCAGCCCCAACTTCGAAAGAAATTTTATTTTGGTGAAGTGACAGATGCTGTTATTAACTTACTTCCATGTCTGACAAATCGCTTTCTTCAAACTCATCCTCAGCCACATACTCCACATCTCCAACGTCCTACAAGTAAAACAACACAAGATCATTCATACTGAATATTGAGTATTGAAATAATTACCTTCTTGATTGACAGGTTGATAAAGTTTGTGTTATTTCTGTGATTGATGATAACTTTTGTTTGTATAAAATTTGTTGAAAAGAAGTATGCTCATTAAAACTAAAAATCGAAACACCAAGCTAATCAGTCTCAGTTAAAACTGTTTACATCTGACTTAATTTACAAATGTACTTTTCTTGATAATGTGACTCCTAGGACTAAAGCTAATCACTCCTCGTTATCATTCACTTATAATTTTTGAAATACATAACATGTAGTACCTTCTGTACATTTTAGTTTACAATTTATTTGTTAAGTCTTTATCAGATATATACATAGAAAAAATTACTGACATTTTGTACATTGAAGTTTACAATCTAGTTAATGAAGAATTTTTTCTAATCAGATATTTACAAACAGAAAATTTAACGACTTTTTGTACATGTAAGTTTCTGATTTAGTTAACTGATCATTTTGTTTTTGAATTTTTTCCCCTTAAATATTTATACTAAGAAAATTGACCTCATCATCTTCCTCTTCTTCAACCTCTTCTTCTTCTTCTTCCTCATCCTTCTCCTTCTCTGTTTCAGATTCTGACTCACTCTCTGCTTCGTCCTCCATTACTTTGTCAAAAGCATGAGTAGGGAAGTTGTATATGTCTCCGTACTATAAAAAGGAATACATTCATGTTGTTTCAGACAATAATACTTGGACTCCAGTACCATAATCAGCACGAAACATCAGTTTATCTTGTTGTGATTCCTGTTATAAGTATAATGGTAAGTACAATTATTTCAGACTTAAATACTTCTGAGAATATTCTAGATGGCAGGATACTAATGAACTACTTGCTTTTGATGTAGCTTATGGAATTACGTTATTATGTTTATTTCATTAATCCAAAAAGATTAAAACAAGCAGACTCTAAATTGATTTGAAGCAGTACTGTGCTGCTTTGTATTAATGTAGATTAATTTTACTACATCTGCTGACTTTCTGTCAAATATTAGGGTCATTACTGTACCATGATAAAAACCATCAAAGTATCAATATAATAGATATTTTACCATATCATAACTAAGCTCACTTTTTTTGTATGTGTACAGCATAAAGTTGATCTTGGCCTATAGCTCACTGACTTGGCTTGTTTAACATCCTATCCACAACTGCAAACTCTAAACTAAGTGGTAGGCAGTATGAAGTGAGACTTTTAAAAAAAGAAAGAATTTTAAAAAAGAGAAACAACATTAAGATCTAAACTTTAGTCACCTCTCACAAACATGTACAGAATATAATTTACTGTTACCTATACGTCATATACAGTATAACAATAGGTATTGTATCTTAGTAGAAAATGTGCGATCGTCTCTAACTTACTGTGCCTTGCTTCAGTCTCTCCAACAATTCCTTCTCTATGTTGGTGTCGATCTGTGCTGCTACCAGCGCTTTCTCCTATCATACATAAAACAGAAATTTTAAATCAACATTCTTTTATTGCTGTACAAAGTTCTTGATAAATGCATTTCATACCTATCTCATAATTATGATACAAATATTGTGTACCGATCTTTTTTTTACAGCCTTTTAACAAACAGTGCATTTCAATTTCAATTTGAACACTAGAAATTTAACTGAAAATACTTGAAAAGAAATTTAGGAGCAGCTGAATATCCTATTTACAGTAATAATCTATTAGATGAAAGAATCTGCTTTCAGACAGGTAATTACAGAGTACCTCTTTTCTTCTTTCTCTCTTCTCAACTTTCCTGCTTAAGGGAACAAGTTTGTTTCTGGAAAAGAGAACATGTTCTCATTGATAATGTACCATGTTTATAAAATCATGTTAAAACTATGAATTTGTAATATCCTGTCAACTCTAAAACATTCCTTCAAGTATGAAGATTTGTGAGGAAAAACCTAAATAGCTGGTCATGTTAGAGTTTAAATATGCCACTTCTGACAACACTGCTGATGAATATCACGCCTACAACTTACGTAAAGTTAGTGAGAACAGTGGTTTACCTATATTGGCTATATCATTGTCAGCATTATTAGAAACACATGCTGTGATTACTTACTGTCGTTTAAGTGTCAGTTTGCGTATCCTGATTAAGTACTGTGTAATCTTTGTAAATCTTTGTTTACATTTGTGTTTCACAAATCTGCAAGATGAAAGAGAAACAATCTGAAAAGTTTTGTTAGTTATTTTTAGCTTTTAAAAATCATCAATAAAACATTAAAAAAGTAAAACTTTGATACAAACTGAAGGAAAATGCAACTGTAGAATTAAAAAAAATTATTAACATCCTTGTTTATCATAGTTCCCAGACTGAATATACTTTTCAACTTTCATTTCAAGTTTAAATTCATTATATCTAATAAGAACTTACTTGGGCCAGTATATCAAATTTTCATTGATCTGTTCAATTGCTTTCTCATAATTCCTTGACAGCTTCACTTTTTCCCACATTCGAGCTGGAAAGGCTGCTCTCTCAACAGTTTTCATATACAGGTAACATATACCTATAGAGTAAACAAACAGGTGTTTAAAAGACAAAATGAAAATGTTTTAGATTTTTATGATTTCCACATTAAATCCACAATTTTATAAGATGTTACCCATGAAATAATATACTGTTGACCGACCTGAATTTTTTTTATAAAATACCTCAAATTTGTTTTTCTAGAAGAAAATTAGCAGATGGTTACTGTTTTTATTGGAGCTGGTAAACAACCTACTAAAGATTGAAGTTTATTTTCTCTCCATATGAACACGCTCCATACATACACAGAGTGAAGATATAAAATCTTAGTTACATTGGCTGGTAGATATAGGTGTCTATGTAGTCAAGTGACAGGTCAGAAATGTTGACTCGGTAATGTAATGAATATGTTGACTCAGTAATGTAATGAATATGTTGACTCGGTAATGTCATGAATATGTTGACTCAGTAATGTAATGAATATGTTGATTCGGTAATGTAATGAATATGTTGACTCAGTAACATAATGAATATGTTGACTCGATAATGTAATGAATATGTTGACTCGATAATGTAATGAATATGTTGACTCAGTAATGTATAATGGAAATGATGACTCAGTAATGTAATTAATATGAAGAGAGACTGTGGTTACCTTTCTCCTCCCGTACAGTTGCATACTGACTGTTGGCGAGAGGACAGGATGATCTGTTACAAATTCCTGTCAGGTTAAATTCATTCCTGCAAAATTTCTGAGCTTTTGTCCTGAAAAGATTCACAAAATATTCAGATTTGATCATGCATAAGCCTCTAAATCTATCTCTTTAGACATGTTTCTTTAAAATCATGCAATTGTACCCTCTCCACAGAAATGGAAAATATCACGACAAAATTCAAGGTGTAGTACAGAGTTATTTAGAGCACTGTACAAACTAAAGAAAGGAACTTATCATGTTTAACTAATCAATATAGGTTTATGCATTAATACGATTCAATCTCCAAAGAACTGCCAGGTTTTGATGTTTGTAACTAATCTGATAATATAGCTTGTCTAGAACCATGAGTTCACTGTGGTAATTGGTGCCTCAAGCTGAAATTGAGGATATATCAAGAAAAAAAGGTGTGGTAATGCAAAATGATCAGGTTGTTGTGACAGTTAATCAAGGTGTTAAATATAGTCTCTGTCACTCATCTGACAAAGCATGCAGTTGATCATCACACCATGTAGCGGAAGTTGACTGGATAGATCATGGCAATCAGGTAGCATGTCCATCTTGAGATCAGAGGGTCACATGTTCGAACCATAGCCTGGCTGTTTATTTTTCTGCTTCAAGTACATTTGGTGCTTGTGACAAACCATGTTTATAGTCGGTGAATGCTTAACAAGAGGATACCTGAACTGGATTGTAAACATAGCTTGTCTTCCAGGGGTGAAGACTTAGATAAAGAAAAAAATAGTGTAGTGGAACTGGATTGGACTGGTAGTTGGTGACTAGGTAGCTCAATTGATATGGTATCCCTCTAAAGGTTTGAGGGTTATGGGTTTGAACCCTGGTCTGGCTGTGCATTTCCCACTACATTTATTAGGATTAATTAGGATATATGATGGATGCAGGCTGGGAATAAGCCTATGTGTCCATATCTTTAAATGAATTTACAATAAATAATATTCTTAATGATAAATACTTCTGGTGTTATTTCATGACTTTCAAATGAAATATCGATTTTCTTTCCAGTGTTCATCAAATAAAATTTCGAACTGTTAAACTGTATTAGCATCAACAACATGTTGAGGTAAAAACTACAGTTTGTACTGGCTGAAATTGATAACATTAGGTAAATTGTACAGAGCAAATAATTTGATAAATTACATGTACAACTGTATAATTGATATAATCTAATATATAATGCTCGAAAATTAAACAGATTCAAAGTGAGAATGTTAGAATGCCATCTGCAAATCAGCCCCCACACCTCCTTCCCCAATCCTTTTATAAGTCCAGAGCAGTTAACATTTTTTACCAGTCCAGTTACATAGGGATATATAGTTGTACAAAAGAAAAAGCGTGAGCCCAAGATACCACTGTGATAGTCCAAAAATCACAGTAAACTATACGTGTATATTGTATAAATGAATATATGCATTTTTGTTATTCAAAATAAAAAAGGACAATGTCTGATGAACATTACTCACCTGACTTTAAAAGAACAAAATGTCCCGTTGATGATACCCCAAATAACCTGAAACAAATAAATGAATGTAATTGAAACGGTTGTAATTATAAGTTATAAGAACAAAATCCAATAAATCACCCAAAACCGCAGTGATACCGTTGTAAATAATACAGACTATTCAATGGCGTAAAATATGAAAAAAACATGTTTTCAATGATCATGACTAATCACAGAGGTGAATAAACAAGCTGAAATATAAGAAAATATGATTAAATGATAATCGGTATACAAACTTCGTCGTTTTGCATGATTTTCTCAAGAATTTGTCAATAAGTAGCACACGTGTTTATGGTCGCAGACATATTGAGTTATATATAAAGTTTCAGACGTATCCGGATTTAATTGTTCCGGAAATTTATCTATCTATGAAAAATGACTTTTTGTACATATAACGAAAATTAACATAGTTGTAAGAGAATAAACTTCTGTTGGTAATTAAATATTTATTGTGATGATAGAAGAAAAAAAAATTAAAATGTTATTTTCAAAATTACGGATATTCAAATCCGTCTCGATGTTTACTTTCATTTTCACCTCACAGTGTCACATGATTGGCAAAATGGAGACAGGATGCATATGACTTCATAGTCCGCCGTCAACAGATAGGGAAACAATGCTTTTAGACATCTATGATATCGTGAACGATGCCGACTGATTTTTGTTTAGGTTTGTACTATGCTTTATTTGTTAATCGTATATAGATGGGTTTTCATAGTTGTTTTCTTTAAGTGTTTTTAATTACAGAACATATCTTCAAGTACATAATGTAGAACATTTTCCTGTTCAGTTCTTCAGTGTTTTTACGTTGACTCATCAGTGCAGCATTAACTTACGTAATATATAGGTCATGTCGCGCAGTTTATACACATTGTGCCAATCTGAAAGCCCTTACACAGATCTGATATAAAGCAAATTATATATCTTATTTGAATTAAATAATCCTGGTAAATACTTTATATAACTAGCAATATATGATAAAAATATAAGTTTTTAGTCTTTAGCTCGATGTTGTCAGCATAACACTAAGAAGTCCAAGGTCCCAGGTTCAAACCCTAGCTCCCAAGATAGTTAACGGAGGATTGAAATAAAGACATGCATAATGATCTCATTTACATTTACTTGAATTGGTTCCCTCGTGGGGACTCTGGAATAATTATTCCATATTGCCCCACAGGCATTGATGTAACCCATGGAAACTGCTTAATCCTTGGAGAAAGAATATGTACCCTGGTAAACACTAACCGTAATATACATGCATTATTCTACTAAAAAGAAATGCAAGCTTTTGCTTAATCCTTGGAGAAAGAATATGTACCCTGGTAAACACTAACCGTAATATACATGCATTATTCTACTAAAAAGAAATGCAAGCTCTTTAGCTTGATTGGTTTTAAAAAAAAAGATATTTGATAGGTAGGTCTTTGGGATAAAGCCAAACAAAGTTTACAAAAAAGAAATGATCTTGAACCATATGAAAGATCACAGTTGTCAATTTTGTGTAAACCTGTGAAAGACATTTTCTGGTTAACCAAAAGTCTGAGAAGCGATATATATGGTGAAGATGTATCTTTTGGTTAAATCCAAAATACCTCAAATGTTGGTGTGTTAACAGGTTTACCTGTAACATGGTTAATGTTATACCTGTTGGTATGTTAACAAGTTTACCTGTAACATGGTTAATGTTACACATGTTGGTATGTTAACAAGTTTACATATAATTGATAAGGGGGTTTAGTAGTACACCTGAAAGTATATAGGTTTTTTTTATTGGTTTATGTCCACCCCAGATCTGCTTTTATATGTGAGCACTTTTATAAAGTTTTTCGGTTACAGCTTGTTATTTAACCACGAAACAAACATATCTTCATGTCTCAGTTTAACTTATTGTTTAACATAACTTGTTTACATAGTTATCTTCATCAATGACTTTTTATATTTAGTTTTATCACCTCTGTTTTATGATAAGTGTAGGCTATATATGACATCTGACCTCATGTATGACCTTTTGAACTTGGTCTTATCAATCAGACACCATTATACAATGGTATTTACTGATAGAGAATACATTGTAGATATGATATTACATCTGGTAAAATTTACACTGAAGGATTGTGTTGTTAAAAAACACATCAGATCTCTCTTCTTTGAAACTTTTTACATGGTTAAATTAAATAAATTCCTTATAAGTTAAGTCATATATAATTATGAATTTTTATATTTTAACCACAGTCCCTCTTATTTAGCCATCTTATATATGTGATTTTTAAAAACTTTTGGTCTTAATGCATACCGTATTCTGATCCTGTTCTGAAATCTTCAACATGTAATTCCTAGTTCCTGGTGTTAAACCAACTAGTCTATCAACATTTCTTTAAACATCAGGAAATAAGATACATTCACCTGACAACTTATTGTTTACTGAACTGGTTTCCTTAACTACCAACCAGTGTAATAGAGCAAAGATCCAATGACCTTAATTTTAATGAAATGTTTTTTTTTCTTCATTAGACGAACATAAAATTCCATTTCATCTGTATACATTTAGAAAAATGTCATCACACATATATATATATTACTGGCTGTTGACATAAGCAATAAATGATTGGTTTTGGACTTTAACAGCCAGAAACAGGCTGTATACCTTTGCTGTGAATGTGCCAATACTTCCAAAATAAAGAAAAAATCAGGAATGTCTTCATACTTTTGATGAAAAGTGATTTGCTTGGATATCTTATTACCTTGTCTAATATTTTCCCTGTTCACTGATGTTGTAATATTTCTTAGCTGCCTAGTTAAAAGTAAATAAGCCCAAGTTTGGCAATATACAGTGGAAATTCCAATCAATACTATTTGTTCTGTATTCATTGCCTTATTTTACCTGTTGACAGGTAGATACTGTTCCTTACATTGCCCTATTTTACCTTTTGACAGGTAGATACTGTTCCTTACATTGCCCTATTTTACCTTTTGACAGGTAGGTACTGTTCTTTACATTGCCCTATTTTACCTGTTGACAGGTAGGTATTGTTCCTTACATTGCCCTATTTTACCTGTTGACAGGTAGGTACTGTTCTTTACATTGCCCTATTTTACCTGTTGACAGGTAGGTACTGTTCCTTACATTGCCCTATTTTACCTGTTGACAGGTAGGTACTGTTCCTTACATTGCCCTATTTTACCTGTTGACAGGTAGATACATTGCCCTATTTTACCTGTTGACAGGTAGATACTGTTCCTTACATTGCCCTATTTTACCTGTTGACAGGTAGATACTGTTCCTTACATTGCCCTATTTTACCTGTTGACAGGTAGGTACTGTTCCTTACATTGCCCTATTTTACCCGTTGACAGGTAGGTACTGTTCCTTACATTGCCCTATTTTACCTTTTGACAGGTAGATACTGTTCCTTACATTGCCCTATTTTACCTGTTGACAGGTAGGTACTGTTCCTTACATTGCCCAATTTTACCTGTTGACAGGTAGGTACTGTTCTTTACATTGCCCTATTTTACCTGTTGACAGGTAGGTATTGTTCCTTACATTGCCCTATTTTACCTTTTGACATATGAACAGGTGTGGTAATGTCCTGCTATATGTACCTAGACCTTACAGGTGTGAGGTATTATAATTTTACTACCATATTTAACCTGTTAACAGGTGTGGTACTACTACTAGGATGCCTGTACCACCAAGTCCCTCTCCTTGTTGGCGTTAATTCCACAACTGAGCCAGCTAGTAATGCCTACGCCTCCCCCAACAGCTACAGACCTTTCCTGCTTGCAGACATTGCTAACTGTACAGGTTCCAATATATCGGTGTGTCAGCCATGTGCTGAGGGCAGCTTTGCTAATGAAAGTAAGTAATGGGAGATGACTGAGAGTCTGCTTCTTAAATTTTTAGTTGTCATTCATAATTATGTAACTGCAACTGCTTTATTTTCATCTTTAGTGCTCAAATTTTATAGCGTTGCCCATGTCCGTCTGTCGCGTCCCGTCGCGTCCCGTCCCGTCACATCCCAAATCAGTATATACCACCTAACAACTTCATTCGGAAGGCAATTTTCATGAAACTTCATACAAATATCAAGTATGGAAAGACCTCATGCAGTGTTGAATTTCTCGGCATTCTAAAAAAAGATGGCCACCAGGGGGAGATAACTCAAAAAAGAGGAACATCATCTTATTTCTACATAATTTGGTACTTGTGGGTTTTAAGGCATAAGGAACTAATATACTCCCTCATTTTTTCCAGAGAACAAAATTCCAAATTCATGTACGTTAAATCAACTTGTCAATTTAAGTATGAAACTTAAGTTGTACATAGTTGCATACAAATTAACAAAATCATCTCTTTCGGACCTTTCACTATTATTTCACATGGGGGGCGGGGGCATTCATGTCTTACAGACATTTTCTAGTTGATAATTAATTCACCAGTATAGTTATGATAAGCACTTAATTCTAATATCATGCAGTATGTTTTTATGATATTAAATGCTCATAGTGTGACAGAACAGGATAAAAATAGCTATGTGGTTTATTTTTCCAGGTTTAATAGAGTGTGGTTGTTGCCCCTATGATCCTTCAGGTGAATGTTTCAACCAGACATTTTGTGAAGATTGTGCTAAAGGTCATGCCCAGAATCTTACAGGGCAGGAGAGTTGCTTACCATGTAACGAGGGACATTACCAAGATGAGACCGGGCAGACCAACTGTAAACCTTGTCCTAAAGGATTCGCTACAAAGTATGCTTATACTATATAACTAGTCAGATTCAGACTCCCAAGTACGCAAGAAATAGGTGTTGTTACTGGTTAAAATAATCTCACTTTGGCATTGACAACAGTCTTTGATGGATAATAGAATGGTGTCGTTCTGTGTGCTTGAGTTAAAATTCAGTATTTGTGAGTTTAATATTGGGTGTTACATAATAATGAAAGAAACTAGCAGCCTCATTGAAACTTTAAAATACTTCTATTTCTAATGTTTTTGTTACTTTTATAATATTTTAGTCCTTATTGCACATTGAATTTTATGCTTTGTTATATTGATAGACTTTGATCATATGCAAGGTGGCCTTTAAGGCCTGATAAATGTACTATTTGTATATATAAGTGTCTGTTTGTCAGGAAACTAGGACACATGTATATTTCTGTGCCACATTTTCACCAGTCTACTGCTTTCAGCTTCTGATGGAACTTAACAAGTGTGCAATTTTATCATACAAGCCACCATGACCAATGTCAAGGTTCAGTTTCAAAGGTCATGTAATGTTAATGACACTAGGAATGTGTTCAGTGTTTAAGTGTCTTGAGTAAATTTGCATATATATGCTCTGAGCTGAAGGTCAGAGTCATTGTTACCATATATACAGGTATATGTATGAACTGAAATGAGTCATCTGTATTAGGATAGAACATGGTTTTACTACCCACCTGGGAAATCAGAATTAAGTTTCAGATGTTTCTGACCAGAAGAGAATATCTTTATACTTAACCATCTGGAATTTTTCAGAATTTGACAGCTTTGCTCAGTGCTTGAAGTGATGTAGGTGCATCAGACAAGTTTGTGTTTGAGGTCAAGTCAACTCATCATGACTATATCATATGATGAAAAACATTACCTAAGATTATATTAAGAAAATGACGTTTTATGTAGTTCTTTTCTCCTTTAAGTGTGATTGGCAGTGTGACGTGTTCCGAATGTGCAGCAGGACAATTTACCAATGTCACAGGCTCGTTAGAATGTTTGTTGTGTCCATCTGGGAAAGTACAACCAAAATCTGGTCAAGACAGTTGTAAAAACTGTTCTAAAGGACAATATCAGGACGAAAAAGGAAAAACAGATTGCAAACTCTGCACAAATGGAACATTCCAGAATGAAACAGGACAATCAGGCTGTCAAAACTGTCCCCAAGGACATTTCCAGGATTCAGAAGGCCAAGTAAAATGTAAAATATGTGAGGTAGGAGAGTTTCAGGATAAAGAGGGACAGACAGAGTGTAAACCATGCCCAATGGGAACTCAGCAAAACAAAGAAGGACAGAAGGAATGTCACAAATGTGAACCAGGATCCTACCAGAATAATACTGGTCAAGCCAGATGCCATAAGTGTCCTGGAGGAATGTTTCAGGCAGAGAAAGGCATGTCCGTTTGTGAACTGTGTGGTGTTGGAACATATTGTGGGTATGTTTTATACAATTAGTTAAAGGAATTTTGTAGAAATTTCTTTCTCAGTTTTTATCTTTGTGGAGATTTCTCCAGGTATTTATGGTAACCCCAGGCCTGCACTTAAATCAGGAAAATAGCATCAGTAATGTACATGTCTTTTTTATGTATTGGTAAGGTGCCAGATCTTGTGTCTATCTTTTTTCTGTATTGGTAAGGTGCCAGATCTTGTGTCTATCTTTTTTTGTATTGGTAAGGTGCCAGATCTTGTGTCTATCTTTTTTCTGTATTGGTAAGGTGCCAGATCTTGTGTCTATCTTTTTTCTGTATTGGTAAGGTGCCAGATCTTGTGTCTATCTTTTTTCTGTATTGGTAAGGTGCCAGATCTTGTGTCTATCTTTTTTTGTATTGGTAAGGTGCCAGATCTTGTGTCTATCTTTTTTATATATTGGTAAGGTGCCAGATCTTGTGTCTATCTTTTTTTGTATTGGTAAGGTGCCAGATCTTGTGTCTATTTTTTATGTATTTGTAAGGTGCCAGATCTTGTTTATGTATTGGTAAGGTGCCAGATCTTGTGTCTATTTTATGTATTGATAAGGTGCCAGATCTTGTGTCTATTTTTTTGTATTGGTAAGGTGCCAGATCTTGTGTCTATTTTATGTATTGATAAGGTGCCAGATCTTGTGTCTATTTTTTGTATTGGTAAGGTGCCAGATCTTGTGTCTATTTTTTGTATTGGTAAGGTGCCAGATCTTGTGTCTATTTTATGTATTGATAAGGTGCCAGATCTTGTGTCTATTTTTTGTATTGATAAGGTGCCAGATCTTGTGTCTATCTTTTTTTTGTATTGGTAAGGTGCCAGATCTTATGTCTATTTTATGTATTGATAAGGTGCCAGATCTTGTGTCTATTTTTTGTATTGGTAAGGTGCCAGATCTTGTGTCTATTTTATGTATTGATAAGGTGCCAGATCTTGTGTCTATTTTTTGTATTGATAAGGTGCCAGATCTTGTGTCTATCTTTTTTTTGTATTGGTAAGGTGCCAGATCTTATGTCTATTTTATGTATTGATAAGGTGCCAGATCTTGTGTCTATTTTTTGTATTGATAAGGTGCCAGATCTTGTGTCTATTTTTTGTATTGATAAGGTGCCAGATCTTGTGTCTATCTTTTTTTTGTATTGGTAAGGTGCCAGATCTTGTGTCTATCTTTTTTATGTATTGGTAAGGTGCCAGATCTTGTGTCTATCTTTTTTTTGTATTGATAAGGTGCCAGATCTTGTGTCTATCTTTTTTTTGTATTGGTAAGGTGCCAGATCTTGTGTCTATCTTTTTTATATATTGGTAAGGTGCCAGATCTTGTGTCTATCTTTTTTTTGTATTGGTAAGGTGCCAGATCTTGTGTCTATCTTTTTTCTGTATTGGTAAGGTGCCAGATCTTGTGTCTATTTTATGTATTGGTAAGGTGCCAGATCTTGTGTCTATCTTTTTTCTGTATTGGTAAGGTGCCAGATCTTGTGTCTATCTTTTTTTGTATTGGTAAGGTGCCAGATCTTGTGTCTATTTTATGTATTGATAAGGTGCCAGATCTTGTGTCTATCTTTTTTTTGTATTGGTGTGCCAGATCTTGTGTCTATTTTATGTATTGATAAAGATCTTGTGTCTATCTTTTTTTATGTATTGATAAGGTGCCAGATCTTGTGTCTATCTTGTATTGGTAAGGTGCCAGATCTTGTGTCTATTTTTTGTATTGGTAAGGTGCCAGATCTTGTGTCTATTTTATGTATTGATAAGGTGCCAGATCTTGTGTCTATCTTTTTTATGTATTGATAAGGTGCCAGATCTTGTGTCTATCTTTTTTCTGTATTGGTAAGGTGCCAGATCTTGTGTCTATTTTTTGTATTGGTAAGGTGCCAGATCTTGTGTCTATTTTATGTATTGATAAGGTGCCAGATCTTGTGTCTATCTTTTTTCTGTATTGGTAAGGTGCCAGATCTTGTGTCTATCTTTTTTCTGTATTGGTAAGGTGCCAGATCTTGTGTCTATTTTTATGTATTGGTAAGGTGCCAGATCTTGTGTCTTTTTTATGTATTGGTAAGGTGCCAGATCTTGTGTCTATCTTTTTTCTGTATTGGTAAGGTGCCAGATCTTGTGTCTATCTTATGTATTGATAAGGTGCCAGATCTTGTGTCTATTTTATGTATTGATAAGGTGCCAGATCTTGTGTCTTTTTTATGTATTGATAAGGTGCCAGATCTTGTGTCTATTTTATGTATTGATAAGGTGCCAGATCTTGTGTCTTTTTTATGTATTGGTAAGGTGCCAGATCTTGTGTCTATCTTTTTTCTGTATTGGTAAGGTGCCAGATCTTGTGTCTATCTTATGTATTGATAAGGTGCCAGATCTTGTGTCTATTTTATGTATTGATAAGGTGCCAGATCTTGTGTCTTTTTTATGTATTGGTAAGGTGCCAGATCTTGTGTCTTTTTTATGTATTGATAAGGTGCCAGATCTTGTGTCTTTTTTATGTATTGGTAAGGTGCCAGATCTTGTGTCTATCTTTTTTCTGTATTGATAAGGTGCCAGATCTTGTGTCTATTTTATGTATTGATAAGGTGCCAGATCTTGTGTCTTTTTTATGTATTGATAAGGTGCCAGATCTTGTGTCTATTTTATGTATTGATAAGGTGCCAGATCTTGTGTCTTTTTTATGTATTGGTAAGGTGCCAGATCTTGTGTCTATCTTTTTTCTGTATTGGTAAGGTGCCAGATCTTGTGTCTATCTTATGTATTGATAAGGTGCCAGATCTTGTGTCTATTTTATGTATTGATAAGGTGCCAGATCTTGTGTCTTTTTTATGTATTGGTAAGGTGCCAGATCTTGTGTCTTTTTTATGTATTGATAAGGTGCCAGATCTTGTGTCTTTTTTATGTATTGGTAAGGTGCCAGATCTTGTGTCTATCTTTTTTCTGTATTGGTAAGGTGCCAGATCTTGTGTCTTTTTTATGTATTGATAAGGTGCCAGATCTTGTGTCTTTTTTCTGTATTGGTAAGGTGCCAGATCTTGTGTCTATCTTTTTTCTGTATTGGTAAGGTGCCAGATCTTGTGTCTATTTTATGTATTGGTAAGGTGCCAGATCTTGTGTCTATCTTTTTTTTGTATTGGTAAGGTGCCAGATCTTGTGTCTTTTTTATGTATTGGTAAGGTGCCAGATCTTGTGTCTTTTTTATGTATTGGTAAGGTGCCAGATCTTGTGTCTATTTTTATGTATTGATAAGGTGCCAGATCTTGTGTCTATTTTATATATTGGTAAGGTGCCAGATCTTGTGTCTATCTTTTTTCTGTATTGGTAAGGTGCCAGATCTTGTGTCTATTTTTTATGTATTTGTAAGGTGCCAGATCTTGTGTCTATTTTAATGTATTGGTATGGTGCCAGATCTTGTGTCTATTTTTTATCTATTGATAAGGTGCCAGATCTTGTGTCTATTTTTTCTGATTTGGTAAAACCTTGTTTTGTTGTATCCTTTTACAGAATGGGTTGTGCCCAATGTGCTGCGTGTCCTCCTGGAACCTTCAGTGGTAACTCGACAGGGTTGGTCACCTGTCCTGTATGTCCACCAGGTATATTCCACCTGACTTTTTGTCATACAGCCCTCCTTCATTACCGATATTCTGTATATACGAGTATTTCAACACTTTACAATTAAATAAACTACTCTGCAAAACGCACCTTGTTGATAATTGATTTATATGTATTGATTTTGTGACAAATCTCTTTAAAATTTGCTTTACTGTTGGAACAAATTTTGTTCTTCTTTTACCATTTTTAATATGCAGCATAATTTTATGAATCGTAACAAACAGTTTTCCTTAGGATTGAAAGTCCACTAGAGTATAATGTGTTTATGACAAACATTCACTAAAATCTTGGTGTGGTATTGAAATATAGATGGAGCTTAAGCACTTTTTATAAATAAAGGATATTTTCTATTTTTGAATAGGACATTATTCTACAGAAGAGAGTTCCCTTAGCTGTTCAAAATGTGGGCCAGGAACATTCCAGACTCATGCAAACAAAACATCCTGTGTTGATTGTCCTGTAGGCAGTAATTGCAGGTTGGTTGATTTAGGAGATGGTTTGTTAGAGACAGGATGATGATCACATATGATGTCTTCTGTTTAGTTTAGTTTAAACTATATTTTTGATCAATATTCAACAACATTACACATATATATTTACAAGCTCACAATCTTTATTGATACTGCAAAATTGAATACCCAGTGAATAGTTTTGCAGTAAATACAAATCTCACAAGATGTATGTTATAGACATTGGTAAAATTAAATCAGCTTAAATTATCCCAAACTAGGATTACCACAAAACATTTAAACTATACAGTATACAGGGGAGGTAACTGTTTTAAAATCTGATACTACCATATAATATCATATCAATTTTTAATTCTGAAAGGGAAAAATACAGTTTTACATTATAAATAACTTTTCTGTTTTAATTTTCCAAACATGTAAATTGATATACAAATGTATCTGGTTTTAAGCCTTACCTTTGCAATCTTAGTATGGTATACTGAATATTATGCATATGTTTACAGTACAAAAAGATGATGTACCTGGAACATCAAAGGTATATCATTTACCAAACCTAACAACTTGTTTGCACATATTTGTTTAGATTTTTAGCGACAATGATAAAATTAGATATTTTTTAATGTTCCTTACTTGTAGTAGAGGTTCTGTACATGACGTGTTTTCCTATTTTCTAGTGAACATGGTTGTGTCCAATGTACCTTATGTCCAGCGGGACAAGAAACAGTGGAAAAGGGCGGTATCAACTGTACCCTGTGTGAACCAGGTAAACCATCAAAGTCACCATACAACCAAGCACTTATATCGTAAAGAGAAAACTACTGGATCAATTTCAATGAAACCACACAAGAATGTTGGGGACCATGTGGTGATGTGCATACAACTTTTTTTTTTTTCAACAAATATGGGTTGCCATAGTAACCAGTCAATATAAATAGGATTTTGTGTGAAAATTTTGTCCAGACAAGTTCTCCTAAACTTAAGTTCAGTTTCATTTTTACAGCACATAAATGTTCGGTACAATGTGTAAATGTGCATCAATCCCTTTTTAAACAAATAAATATATGGTTGCCTCATCAACAGCATTTTTTCATCAAAATTTTTATCAGAACAACTTCACCTAAAGTAGTGGTTCAATTTCAGTATAATTACAAATAGTAATGACTGCAACCATGTTGGGATGTGCAAGCAACATTTTTTCCCCAAAAAACATTTGGTTGCCATAGCAACTGTACCATGGTAGTTGATCAGTATAAACAGGTTTTTCAATAAATAGTTGTCATTCACCTTTTACCAGGTTACTGCGCCCCAAAACACTACAGTGGTCATTTCCTCATCTCATTGGCTTAGGTTGATTTACACCTGTAGTAACACAAATGTAAGACACATGAATTACAAAACCAGTGGCATGAACTTCAATTATGAAACAATGCACTGTTGTCTTATTGAGAAAATTCTGTTGGATTACTCACAGTACTAGGACTGTTATTGTCTATCAGAAATTTTATTATTTAGTTATATTAATACTGTAATCAGTTCATCAGATTTAGATAAGTGACAGGGAAGATTACAAATTGTGATGTAAATCCTTTGGTGATGGAAATAATATTTTACAAGTAACTTGTATATTTTCTGATTAGTAATTCTAATACTGATGGAAATCACTTTAAATCTGTATAGCTACATTAGTCCTATTTTCCTTGTATAGGTTTCTATAAGATTGCTCTGAGTGGTGGCAAGTGTGTACCTTGTAGAGACGGGTTCTATCAGCCAGATTCTGGTTCAGGTTCCTGTAAAGAGTGTCCATCAGGATTCTTCTGTCCAGTAAGTTTACAAATAAATATACATGTACTCACTTGTTTTATTTTCATTTCATTTATTATATTTTCCATGGTAATGAGTTTTTTAATATTTGTACTGGAGTTTGTTATTTGATATTTGTACTGGAATGCGTTAGTTAATATTTGTACTGGAGTATGTTAGTTAATATTTGTACAGGAGTATGTTAATTAATATTTGTACTGGAGTATGTTAGTTAATATTTGTACTGGAGTGCGTTAGTTAATATTTGTACTGGAGTATGTTAGTTAATATTTGTACAGGAGTATGTTAGTTAATATTTGTACTGGAGTATGTTAGTTTATATTTGTACTGGAGTATGTTAGTTAATATTTGTACTGGAGTATGTTAGTTTATATTTGTACTGGAGTACGTTAGTTAATATTTGTACTGGAGTATGTTAATTAATATCTGTACTGGAGTATGTTAGTTAATATTTGTACTGGAGTATGTTAATTAATATTTGTACTGGAGTATGTTAGTTAATATTTGTACTGGAGTATGTTAATTAATATTTGTACTGGAGTATGTTAGTTAATATTTGTACTGGAGTATGTTAATTAATATTTGTACTGGAGTATGTTAGTTAATATTTGTACTGGAGTACGTTAGTTAATATTTGTACTGGAGTATGTTAATTAATATTTGTACTGGAGTACGTTAGTTAATATTTGTACTGGAGTATGTTAATTAATATCTGTACTGGAGTATGTTAATTAATATTTGTACTGGAGTATGTTAGTTAATATTTGTACTGGAGTATGTTAGTTAATATTTGTACTGGAGTATGTTAATTAATATTTGTACTGGAGTATGTTAGTTAATATTTGTACTGGAGTACGTTAGTTAATATGTGCACTTTAGTACGTTAGTTAATATTTGTACTGGAGTATGTTAGTTAATATTTGTACTGGAGTACGTTAGTTAATATGTGCACTTTAGTACGTTAGTTAATATTTGTACGTTAGTTAATATTTGTACTGGAGTATGTTAGTTAATATTTGTACTGGAGTACGTTAGTTAATATGTGCACTTTAGTACGTTAGTTAATATTTGTACTGGAGTTCGTTAGTTAATATGTGCACTTTAGTACGTTAGTTAATATTTGTACTGGAGTTCGTTAGTTAATATTTGTACTGGAGTATATAAATAAGCCTAATCTATTCTAGTTTCGATACTTCCGGTATCTTATAATCATGTTAGGGCAAAGCAAGTTCTAACCAGACTTATTTGTTATCAATATCAGATAGCATCAGATCCTCCATTGCGGTGTCCAGTCAGTGCTATCTGTCCGAAGGGAAGTGGTCAAGCAGTGCCCTGTGCTGGACCCTTCTACAAAGCTAATAAGGAAAGGACAGAGTGCTTGGTTACTCAGGAGTTCATTGCTGTAGTAGCCGGATGTAGTGTTGGTAAGTAGGATATCCTAAAAGGAATTTCACAAAAATCTGAAAATTACAGGATACATGTATCTTTAAGATAAACAATGATAGTTAAGAATAAATTCATAAACATATATCAAGCAAAACATACGCTATACATAAAATTTAGATGATTTTACAAATTTATTCCCTATTTAGTGTTTGCACTATCTATAGTCAAAAACACTATTACAATATATAGTCAGACTCTGTTGTCTTAAACTTTTATAACTTGAACACACCTTTATTTGTAATCTCCAATTCTGATAATTTAGAGATGTGGTTTATTCGGTCATGGCCAAATTTTCTCTCTTTATCTTAATTTGATCTTATCGAGTACTTACATAACTTAAAACTTCAAGACTACGAAGTATCACTGTAACATGATATAGTATGAGATGATTAAAATCCAAGGAGAGATATCACAGAAAAGTCACTTGTAGTATGGATTTATAATTGATGTTTTTCTTTGTTTGCAGTATTTCTAGCATTTTTAGGGATAGCTTTATACAAATTTTGCCAATATAGAAAACGACGCAAAAGTTCTGAAGATAGTCAACTATTAACTACTTCTGGGAACCAAATTTACTCAGGATGGTGAAATTGACCTTTTGGAGACAAATCAGATTTATTCAGGATGGTGAAATTGACCTTTTGGAGACAAACCAGATTTATCCAGGATGGTGAAATTGACCTTGTGGAGACAAGCCAAATTTACTCGGGATGGAGAAATAGACCTTTTAGAGACATAAAAAATGTATTTACTGAGAATAGTGACGAGCTTCATTCTTCATCGCATCTTTACATCGAGCGTAGATAGTGAACAGCATCTTTGCATGTGTCAAACAGGAACTAATTTTTGTGGATTAGTCTGATCTTGAACAACTACACCAATACAGATTAGGAGCAATATATTTATATACAATGTATTACAAATGAAGTATGTTCAGATTTCCATTTATACAATTTACTTTAAACTATGATCTTAACATGTGTTGCTTATATTAAGTGTTAGAAAAGGAAAACTCTACTTGTAATTTATTCATAATTGGCTGTTCTTTCTCATTTGACTTTACAGGTGATTTAGTCACTATGAGTTTACAATTTATGATATGCTCTGCTTGTGATTAAGTCACATTTGCCACAGCTGATGATTTGGTCACAGTTAAATATGCTGGTGATTTAGTCACATATTACTCAGCTTGTGATTTAGTCACAGTTGACTCATTTGGTGATTTAGTCACAGTTAATTCAATTGATGATTTTGTGACAGTGGACTCGATTGGTGATTTAGTCACAATTGAATCAATTAGTGATTAAGTCACAATTAACTCAATTAGTGATTTAGTCACAATTGACTCAATTAGTGATTTAGTCACAGTTGACTCAATGAATGATTTAGTCACAATTCGCTCAATTAGTGATTTAGTCACAGTGACTCAATTAGTGATTAAGTCACAATTAACTCAATTAGTGATTTAGTCACAGTGACTCAATTAGTGATTAAGCCACAATTAACTCAATTAGTGATTTAGTCACAATTAACTCAATTAGTGATTTAGTCACAGTAACTCAATTAGTGATTTAGTCACAATGAACTCAATTAGTGATTTAGTCACAATGAACTCAATTAGTGATTTAGTCACAGTTGACTCAATGAATGATTTAGTCACAGTTGACTCTACTGGTGGTTTAATCGTGGCTAACACTCCTAGTGAGTTAGTAACAACTGATTTATGAAGATTTCGCATAAATAGATAGGAAGAAATAGTTTGTGTTTTAGTTGTCTGTAATAATGAAGACTTATTTTTTTCATTCAAACTTCAAACAATTCTTCTCATAAGTGTACCAGTCCAAAATCAATATATTTTATTTTTTATCGATTAAAATATTTTTGTTTTGTTTTTTATGTCAGTTTCTATTTCATACATTGTAATTAAGTTTTTGATAGCACAAGCTCATTGCATTCCTAAAATTGGCATTGTTGTTATTTTTATAAGAACAACTTATCTACGATATGTATGTGTATTAAAGTAGGTAATAGGTTTTATACAGAGATAAAACTTTCCATGATGAACCAATAATGATACAAATGATTGATTTCCCTGACAGAAATCATGTCGTGATTTGTAGATGTATATATTGTGATCCTGTTTTATCTTTTGTAAAGGATATTTACTGAATTACCATGACATGGACATGTGACAATTCCTATCTGAGACAATAAGAGATGTTCCATAGCTGTTTCATTGACAATCAGGGCTATAAACGTGTATTTATACATGGTTAAGAATAATTACTATACAATAACATTCCCTGTTGTGATATTAGCTACTATATAAGGGTGTATGCAATTTTATTGTAACAATGACATTTATGTATACTTATTAACATGGAAACATTAACTAAGTGTCTCTATAGTAACATGGAAACGTTAAAACTGTATCTCTATAGTAACATGGAAACATCATCTCTGTATCTCTGTAGTAGCATGGAAACATTAACTCAGTGTCTCTAAAGTAACATGGAAACATTATTTCTGTATCTCTGTAGTAATATGGAAACATTAACACTGTATCTCTATAGTAACATGGAAACATTATCTCTTTATCTCTGTAGTAACATGGAAACATTAACACTGTATCTCTGTAGTAATGTGGAAACATTAACACTGTATCTCTGTAGTAACATGGAAACATTAACACTGTATCTCTATAGTAACATGGAAATATTAGCACTGTATCTCTGTAGTAACATGGAAACATCATTTCTGTATCTCTGTAGTAACATGGAAACATTAACACAGTGTCTCTATAGTAACATGGAAACATTATCTCTGTATCTCTGTAGTAACATGGAAACATTAACTCAGTGTCTCTATAGTAACATGAAAACAATATTTCTGTATCTCTGTAGTAATATGGAAACATTAACACTGTATCTCTGTAGTAATGTGGAAACATTAACACTGTATCTCTGTAGTAACATGGAAACATTAACACTGTATCTCTGTAGTAACATGGAAACATTATCACTGTATCTCTATAGTAACATGGAAACATTAACACTGTATCTCTATAGTAACATGGAAACATTAACTCTGTATCTCTGTAGTAACGTGGAAACATTATCACTGTATCTCTATAGTAACATGGAAACATTAACACTGTATCTCTATAGTAACATGGAAACATTATCACTGTATCTCTATAGTAACATGGAAACATTAACACTGTATCTCTAGAGTAACATGGACTTATTGTATTAATTTGGTTGTTTTATCCATATATTTAATCTTTATATGGAAAATCACTTAGTTAATTTGATTACCTGTTGAAAATCACTTAGTTAATCTGATTACCTGTTGAAAATCACTCCATTACAAATCTATAGTGTTTTGATGTGTGTGCTTGTTTATGTACATGCTATCAGAAATTAAAGTGATTCAGGATTTTCTTATATCAGAGTCAATAAACCATAATTATTTATCATTAAGCCCAGGACCTCTACAAGGTAATTTTTCCTTAGGATTGTTGGTTGTCAGACATACAGTTTATCTATGGTACATGTGAAATGATTGTGTTTGATTCAATAAATACTGTTTTTGAAATTGTATTTTGCTAAAGGGTTCTTGATTTACTCTGTAGATTGTGTTAAGTCTGAAATAGGGACACATTAGTGTAATTGAGGTGAGAATTCATCTGTACATAGGTTATGTTAGAGTTTGTAGGACTCTGATAATGCTTCCATAGTTGTAACCTTATTATGTACTATTATGTGCTATCTATATTACTGATGATGAAAGTTAAGAACCACTGAGGATTTTACAAGCTATTCATATTGCTGACTGTTAGACATTCTCTTCACGCAAGGTTAAGATGGAGGTGACTGCATCGATGAATATTGGAGATGATATCATTTATATTTTGATTTTTGTCTTACGAAAATGCATCTTCAATAAGAAGAGGAAACATCGGTTTGTGAAGTTTTGGTAGTGGTTCTTAACTTCAGTTACCAGTTATATGACACTTTCTGTGATACAAACATATGCAATTTGTTACAAAATACACATTTCCTATGATATTTTGAAAATATTTTTATTCATTTATTTGCAGTCTAACAATTTCTTCTTGGTTTAATTATAACTTGTATGATAGTTTTGTATATGTATATACACTGTACATTGTTATCAGTGTAAAGTTGTACCTGTTAATTCTGTGTAAAGCAACATTGTATGTTTTCTGTTGTACCTGTTAATTCTGTGTAAAGCAGCATTGTATGTTTTTCTGTTGTACCAGTAAACTATGTGTAAAGCAACATTGTATGTTTTTCTGTTGTACCTGTAAACTCTGTGTAAAGCAACATTGTATGTTTTTCTGTTGTACCTGTAAACTCTGTGTAAAGCAACATTGTATGTTTTTCTTGTGTACCTGTAAACTCTGTGTAAAGCAACATTGTATGTTTTTCTGTTGTACCTGTAAACTCTGTGTAAAGCAACATTGTATGTTTTTCTTGTGTACCTGTAAACTCTGTGTAAAGCAACATTGTATGTTTCTCTGCGTAAGGTTAAACTGCATATTTCTCAGTACACTGAATTTATTTATTACATGGTATCTGTTTTAGTGTAATTATGCTTCATAGTATTTTTTTGAGCATTGTAACGTATTCCAGTGTACCAATTAAAAGTCACCTTGTAGTTTGTTTCTGTGTAATATGAAATGGTGCCTGTTAATTCTGTGAAAAATTGTCTTGTTTGTTTCTGTGTAATATCAAATCAAACCTCAAATTCTGAGATAAGTGGAAATTCAGTGCCATTGATAGTTCAGGTTCTGATACTATTGATAAAGTGAGTTTATTTATCAGTTTCCATGTTGTTTATGATGTAAATGAAACAATTGTTTTGTTGTATAATGATGGTGATCTTTGTATGATACACCAAGGTACATAATGTTTATATCATAGTATCAGATTTCTTAATTACTTCTTTTTAGATCGAAATATCTTAATTGAAGTTCTATGATATAATATAATACTGATAAAGGAAAAAATTACACCATATCTTGTAGTTGTATGTTATATTTCCACATAAAAGGACAATTTTTAATATGACCATACTGATCACAGTATATAAAAACAGGTGTGTTTGTACCACTTTCTGTAAGGTATGGGAAGTGGTTTTAAGTTAACAAAATTATCTCATTTCCAGCTTTAATTAATTTGTATTGAACAAGATTCTTTGCTGTATTATCAAAAATATAGATTAGATAAAAAGTTGCTTAAAAACCTTGTCATCATAGCATACAATGAAAATCAGTGGTACTGTAGGTACACTTCTATGTTATGTAATACAATTAAAAGAGAATTATCTCATAATCAAACATATCTAACAGACTTGTTGTATATATTTGATGTTATAGTGTATTTGAAACAATGATAACATTAGGAACGCCATACATGTAGCTCAGTTGGTTAGAGCGTTTTCCTGTGTAACCTCAGGTAAAGATGTGTGTTACATGATTTGACATTCCTTACCCATGTGGGTTGTGTTTCTCAGGACGCTGAGAAATGGACCTGCTTGAGCTGATGTGAATGCTCTAGACAGTATGTAACATTCATCTTTTATATAGTTCCGTGAGGTAACTACCAACTACCACAAGGAGATTCACCTCAAAATAACTGTTCACAAGGGGCTAAACCCAGCAAAATATAACTCACATTAACAAAGTTGTAGAACATAGCTGTTGCTCTAAACAGAAATGGCTATACATAAGTTGTATGTTTGTAAATCATAAATAGATATAACTTCACCATTTTTAGGTCACCTGAGCCGAAGGCTCATGGTGACCTATTGTCATCATGATTTGTCTGTCGTCGTGCATTGTTAACTTTTCACATATTCGACTTCTTCTCTAGAACCACTGAATAGATTTTGACCAAACTTGGCACAAAGCATCCCCATGGGAAGCCACTTCAAGTTTGCAAAGAAAAAGGGCGTGGCCCCAATAGGGGCCGAAGGAGGTGGAAAAAGGGGGTAAAATTAGGTAAATCTTTAAAAATCTTCTCCTCATGAACCGTCAATCAGATTAAATTCATATTTGA